TATGTATGAGGGATATGTGTTTATTTATTATTATTTTTTTTTATATTGTGAGTGCGTGTATTTACACACATATTTACAGCTGTACCACGCGCATTCCTCACCACCCTCACGAGATCTCTAAGAATGTTGGAGCTGTTTTCAAAAACTGGGATAGGGATTGGTTTTTTGGCTTTTGTAGTGTAGTCCTATTATATTGCAATATTGACTAGCATGACGTAGAGTGCAGGCGGTGAGATCTGTTGCAAGGACACGCCCCTGACGAGTGGCGTTAGTGCAGGTCTCGGGCTCTCCGAAACGTCATTGGTGATCGCAGTGCATTCCTGAGGAGGGGGATCACCATTTATCCACTACTTAATTCTAATTGGTTATTATGGCACCAACATTTTTTTACCTCTTAAACCCATGTATTATTGCGCTTTATGAGCTTTTTATTATGAATTTGGTACATTTACAACATTTATATATTTTTTATGTTACACAGGTGATTATCAGTTATCAATTTTTTATCTAGAGTTTAGAACATATATAGTACCACATTTATTAGACACTTGTATGGTGCGATTATTTTAGTTATGAATACCATTATAAACCAGCGGATTTTTATTGACTTGTTTACTCATAGATCATTATTTCATCATTTATTAAAAGATGACTAGAGTGTGAGTTTTTATTCCCCCTTTTCCTGAGTTGCTTACTTTTACTCTTCCAACTATATAGTCTTTGCATTAATTTATGTTTTTTTACCTAAATGACATCATCTTCAATCTGTTTTTACTTTCACATCTCCCAGGTCTACGTAACTGGACGGCTCCGTTGGTCACTTTTTGCGATCATAGTGTCGCATAAGCAATAATTAATAATAGTGAAGCTGGTTAGTCAGTTAATTAGTCAGTAAACCTGTGTAAGTTTTTTTATAAAACGTTGAAGTATCAAATTTACTATTTACAGAGTTAATCATTATATCAAGAAAGTTCAACTTTTACCTCTTCAGTAAATTTTAGATTTGGATGTTGTTTATTTTTATATTCTAGAAAAGTGAGTGCATCATTGTTATTTTCAAAGATACAAAAGATATTATCTACATACCTTTTGTAGACACTACACAACAAGGGTTTCAGAACACTTAAATTCAGAAAAGGCTTTCCATATTTACAAACACCTCAATTCATCACAAAAATGCAAAATTTCAACAAATCCTGATTGCTTTTTCATTACTGACAAAGCTTCCTCCAAGTATGAACTCAAAATTAAAGAAGGGATCCATATTGAGATGGGAAAAACCTATTCTTAATACACAATTAAAATCATACACTATTACTTTAACAATATGATTTCTCAATTATCTTACTTTTTATTTCCTATTTTGTTTGTTATTAATTATTTCACACCATTTATATAATCTTTTGTGAAATTTCATGGTAATTATTTATTTTATGTAACTATGGTAACTATTGTAAAAAACTATTAAATTTTTAATATAGCCAAAAATTGTTTATATACAGAAATTAGAACTAATTTTTTATACCTGATGATGTCAATTGATATTGATAAAGCATGTTGTTAAAAAGTTTTAAAATAATTTTTATTTATTTAAAAATCATATATATATATATATATATATATATATATATATATATATATATATATATATATATATATATATATATATATATATATATATATATATATATATATATATATATATGTATACATATACATATACATATACATACAACAACAGTTTACTTGAATACAGACTATTATGTAAAGTTTGAAGTTATGTGGATATTTTAGAAAAATTATCTCCATTATCTTTGGTTTTCGAAAAAAAAATGTTAATGGTAAATGAATTAAAACCAGCAGTGGATGTAACTAAGGCTAGCTTAGACAAATAAGGCAATGAAGGTATCATTGATATTATTGATTCATATTTACTAAAGTTCAGAATCAATGAAAAAGATGGTACAACTAATCTTGTTTCTTCATATTTCAAAGAAGGCCACGAATTGAAAAAATCTAATCCAGAGTTTGTTCAGATTGAGCTTGGCAACATGGCTAACCTTAACTTGGAATGTCTTAGTTTTGCCATTAAATTAAGAAAATCAGCAATTGACATCATTCTACCATTGATAAAAGATAGATTTAGTTTGCTATTAAATCCAATATTTGAATCAATGGATTGGTTAAATCTACAATTATGGACAGCAGACAGCATGTATGGTGATGTCTTTATTACTAAAAAAACTCTTTTACCCTCTAAAGGCTGCAGGAATAGATTTTAAAATGGTTCTTTCGAAATGGAAAGCTGCAAAACTAGTAATAAATACTCAGTACACCATTGCACTCACACCACTGGAAATGTGGCAGAAATTTTTCCTTCATCATAGAATCAAGTTTCCAAACTTTTGTCTTCTAGTTGAACTTATGATGTGTATTTCTGGCTCTAATTCCGCTGTCAAACGCATTTTCAGTATTTTGACTGTAATACTGACTGATCGGCGTTTAAAGATGAACCACTCAACAATGGAAGATTCTATATTAATAGCAGGGAATGACCAGAATTTCACTTATAAAGAACGAGAAGATATTTTGAGTCGCACTGAGGATCTCTTTTTAAGTAAGCCAAGAGTTTATTGCCTTGATTCAGCTAATGGTAGCAATGTCACTGATTATAGTAGAGACGAAAGCAGCTACAGTAACGATTTAAGTTCTACATCTGAATTGGACGGATAAACATTTTATTTTACATGTCTTTACTTGTAAATCACTTTATGTATGTAATTAGGTTTGTTTTTTGTTGTGTATGCTTTTGTTTCATTCATGTGTGTTTGTGTTCTGTCTCGACTTCTGGCGAGGGCTGATCCACTTGTCACTTTATGTATGTATTTATGTTTGTGTTTTGTTGTGATGCTTTTGTTTTGTTCATGTATGTTTGTGTTTAGTCTCAACCTCTGGTGCGGTGCTGATACGCTCGTAAATCACTTTATGTATGTATTTATGTTTGTGTTTTGTTGTGTATGCTTTTATTTCGTTGATGTATGTTTGTATTCTGTCTCGACCTCTGGCACGGTGCTGATCCACTCACTTTAGTCACTTTATGGATGTATTTATGTTTGTGTTGTGAAACAATATTGTCTAATGATGGATATAGCTCCTTAACATGAAGTTTTGTTGAGCTCACTTCTTATGGAATGCGTCATTGCTATTTGCCCACTACTCTGTAGTGCGTGCACAAAACAGTTTTCTAGTTTTATTGCTTAGATTTAGTCCCATAAAATCATTACATTACTAAAGAGTCCTAGTGGACGAAACAATATTGTCTGCTACTCTCAATTCCTTAAAGCAGGGGTAATGGTTTTCAACTGATCTGAAAGTTTCAATATTTATCAGTTACACAAATGTTTTTTAGTTTGTGAGGCCGATTTTCACTTAATTTTTTTTTTTAGTTTTGAAAAATGATTTTTTTGTTGATAGCAAGTAAAATTAATAAGGGAGGCAGGGGGGAATGAGCTAAGGGTGGATGGAATAATTTTTTAAAAATAATTTTATAAACATCTGCCCCACCCACTTCTGTTCTACTTGAGAATATATATATATATATATATATATATATATATATATATATATATATATATATATATATATATATATATATATATATATATATATATATATATATATATATACCCGACGGGCATTTGTTTTTAAAAGTTACGTTCTAAATGTATTTTAAATGTCTTTTAAACGTCTTCTAAACATTCTTACGCAAAAAAACGTTTAAAAGACATTTAAAATACATTTAGAACGTAACTTTTAAAAACAAATGCCGGTTGGGTATATATATATATACATATATATATATATATATATATATATATATATATATATATATATATATATATATATATATATATATATATATATATATATATATATATATATATATATATATATATATATATATATATATATATATATATATATATATATATATATATATATATATATATATATATATATATATATATTTGTGTCTTGTCGTGTATATGTGTATATTTGTGTCCTGTCGTGACCTTATGTGTGGTGCTTGTTCATCCGCCAGTTACTTTGTATGCATGTTTGTGTTTAGTAACCAGAAACATTTTGTATGTTTATTTCATAATTAGTTTTATCAACTTTGATGAATATTACTGAAAATGCAATTTTTGTTGAAAATCTTTATGCTTACAAAATAAATAGTAAAAACTGCTTTAAAATATATTACTTTAGAATATAAACAGAAACACAAAATTACATAAAAAATACATAATTTTTAAACAAAAAATAAAAATATACTAATAAAATCTATAATTTATAATAAACTTTTAAAATTTTGACAATTTAAAAAATATATATTATAAAACATTTATTTTGTAAACAAATAATAATAGCTAAAAAGATTTACGGCTTTGCAGATGTGGCTCTAAGAATGAGCCATAGTATTAAAATAATAATTTGTTTGATTATATATTCTTAAAACAATTTATGCTATAAATCTTATAACTTAACAAATCTTGAATGATACAATTTTTAAAACATGTTAACAGAATATTCTAGAACTTTATTTTGCTTAGTCAGTGTATTTTTTGAACCAATAGAATTAGTTTGTTCGTAAATTTGGCGGGTTTTTAGTGTTACCTTTTTATTCTTTGGCACCAAGATGTTTTGAGAACATTTAAGTTTATGTTTCCATGTATGTCCGTAAAACAAAATATTTTTGTTTTATGGAAATACATAAACTTTAATGTTCTCAAAACGACTTAATTACGTGGCCAGTTTTTCGCAACTAAAAATAATTTCCGTGGTCAGTATTTGAGAGCGATCGTTTCCACTTCTCGACCAAGCCTATACATGTATATATATATATATATATATATATATATATATATATATATATATATATATATATATATATATATATATATATATATATATATATATATACATTTATTTTTAACTAGAATAACATCTACTGAAGAAGGGTGTGCTCGTATTATTAATCAAAGATGTGTTCACAAGTATTTTCTTACTTTTATCAGCGCACTTGATTTAGTTGACTGCCAGTATAATATTGTTCTTACAATCGCTTGTTTATTTAACATAGAAAGTTGTCAGAGAAACATGCTTTCTTTAAATGAATCAAGTGAGATGGTACATATATTTTTAAACATTAAATTTTCTTTTTATTGATTAGTAATGTTTCGTTTAAAAGTATAGCTTTATTATTTCTTTTAATAGATTGAAAAATTGGTGAATCTGCTATTTGCAAGTAAAGCTGAGACCAGAAAGGGGTCATGCTTTGCTTTAAGTTTGCTTGCTTTAAATAAGCACGGCAATCAACGTATATTAGAACATCAAAGTATGGAAAAGATGCTGTTTGGTATTGTTAGCTTTTTAAAGGATACTCACAATCACGATCACGATCTTTCTTTGTTTTCACTGTTGTAAGTTTATTTAGTATGCTTAACAATATAAATTGTTTTATATTTGTTATTATTTTATGTTTTTTATATATTTAATTTATTTTTTTAATATTTAATATAGTTTTTATAATTTCTATTACTTTAAGAATATGGTTAACTAATTTGGTTTTTAGCTTCTTAAAGTCACTGATCTGTCGTAAAAAAAGTTGTGTTATGTTGAGAGATAATAAAAATATAAAACTGATGATGATGGTAATTTTAGTTTTTTTTATATCTTTTATATTTATTTATTTTTTTTAATTTTATAATTACATTTTAGTCTCTTACTTTTTAGGAAGTCTATGAAACATGTAACTTAAACACAGAAATTTCAGACAAATTGAATAGTATTTTATTGAGTATAGAAGATCTTCCTAAACCCCCTCCACCTTTAGTCAAAGGTTGCTTGTCTTTTATTATGTTAATAAAGTTTTGTTTACATTCATTTTTATTGATTAAAAAATTGTTTTGTTTACATTCACTTCTTTTGATTGAAAAAAATTCTTTAGTGAAAAGTGCATTTTCAGTTAGCATAAGTTGGGAAGTTTACGTTCCACAAAATAATTTCAAAGTACTTTATCATATTATTCAAGGTATGCTGTTTTTTCATGGTATGCCAAGATACTGCAGGGGGTTTTCAATTACTAAGATACTGCCCGATATATAGTGATGTAGATATATAGATATGCAGTGGTATTAAACTTACTTTGCTTGGGATTGGCTGAGCTAAAATCAATAATAAAACAATAAATAATTATAATTGCAATGTTGTGATTGGTTCTATTATCAATAACGTGATTGGTTCTCTATATTGTAAATGATTCTAATTGCAATATGTTTATAAATTCAGCTATCACACAGTAACAACTTACTTTTAACTTATTTTCTTTCTTGTAATATTTTTAAAATACAAACATTTGTAAATCAATCTGCACTTTGCTGTGCTCTTGTAATATTATTTATTAAAAATTACAAAGTTGTATAATACAGTGTTTGTGATTGAGTTACAAGGTTGAAGTACAAATCTGTTAAAGTAAATAATATAAAAATTCTGAAATGTTGTGCATTTGTAAGAGTTTGTGCATTTGTAAGAGCTTGTGCATTTGTAAGAGCTTGTGCGTTTGTAAGAGCTTGTGCATTTGTAAGAGTTTGTGCATTTGTAAGAGCTTGTGCATTTGTAAGTTTGTAACTTGCACAAAAATTGCATAAAAAGTTTTTTATTTAAAGTATTTTATTTACTATAAAATTTACTCTTAAAATTTACTATAAAATAATAATACCTATGTATTAATATTACAAAATATCAATACTTTTTTTATCAAGGTATTTTAAATATTTTTCATTTAATCAAAAAATTTCAAAATCATAGCATTTTAAGTTTTTTTTATTTGTATCACAGTTTTTTATTCCAATTTGTTTTTGTTGTCATTTTTGGCTTATCAAACCCTGACCCATTTTTGCTTCCATCACATTCGTGCAGTGTTTCTTTTTTTGTGTGATAAAAATATAACATCAAGTAAAAGCATGTTTTATAGCTTTATAATATTTCTTTTTTATACAGATGGTGTTGAAATCTTCAAGTTGCATGGCTCAAGTGTTATTGTGGATGGACTTAAGCCATTTTCCAAGTACTCATTTGCAATGTTTTACTCAAGTGAAGGTGCAAAAAGTTCTTTAAGTGAAGTAGTGTTCATTGACACTCCAGAATCAGGTATAAAAATTTAATATTATATACATTCCTTAATGTTTTTTGAAATATTTATAATTTCTTATTTAAAAAAATCGCATTTACTTGTAAGTTTGTTACAATTTACACCAAAGACACAAATGTGTCTTTGGTTTAAATTGAAAACAGTCATGGAAATTTTTTAATTAAATTATTGTGAGGTAAAACATTTATAGTGAGACAGTTATATTTAGTATAGTGAGGTAGTTATATATATATATATATATATATATATATATATATATATAATATATATATATATATATATATATATATATATATATATATACATATATATATATATATATATATATATATATATATATATATATATATATATATATATATTTATATATATATATATATATATATATATATATATATGTATATATATATATATATATTATATATATATATATATATATATATATATATATATATATATATATATATATATATATATATATATATATATGTGATACAAAGTTGTAATGAAACAAAGCAATGATGTAATTAGTTTTTTTTTTTTTTAATGTCAACATAATTTAATCATGGAAAAAATTGAATATTGTCCAGTAATAAAATTTTTAGTGAAAAAAGGTTTGAAGGCGATGGAAATTTATAGTGAAATGGTGAATGTGTTAGGGAATGCTGCTCCGTCTAAAACAATGGTCTGTAAGTAGGCATTAGAATTTAAACATGGTTGCACAAGCCTAGAAAATGACTCTTGTTCAGGGCGTCCAAAAAGGATCTTCTGAAGAAATGATTGATACCATTCATGATATGATTATGTATGACAGAACGTTAACCTTAAGTGAGATTTTTAAGACCATGAAAACTGAGCGAGTACTTCATATTTTGAAAGATGTACTAAGCCTCAGAAAGCTTTGTGCACGATGGGTGCTGCATTTCTTAAATTGGGGTCAAAAATGACTTTGAGTGAATCTTTCTAAGAAACTTTTTCCAAAAAAAAAATATATTTATTTTTTTTTTGAAAAGGTTTCCATATTTTTTTTTTAAAAAAATATCCATAGTGACGAAACGTTGTTTTGTACGTTGTTTTAATGTACCACTATGATCCCAAAGTGTAACAACAAACCTCAGAGTAGACTGATCATGGTTGTTCAGCCCCAAACGACCAAAATGGTCCAAATCATCCAAAAAGGTTATGGTATCTGTTTTCTGGGATGCAAAGGGCATTTATGTTGATTGATTATCTTCAAACCAGTAAAAACATAGTAGGAGAGTATTTTTTCAAATAGTTAAATACAATTTAACATAATTGGTTAACATAATTTGAATGATACCTCATTCAAATTATGTTAACTAATCAAAGGTGTAAGAAAAATAAGCAACTCGCGCAACCCAAAATCATTAAAATAATTTAATAATCTATGATAGCGAAAAAAATGTCACACAAAAACCATTAAAAATAAACATAAAAATAAACTCGCAAAAATATTAATAAAAATAAAAACCAAAAATTTGAAAATTAAAACAAAGCTGAGTAATGAATGTTTTACTATTAGAATAATGTAAGAATGTAATATAACATAAAAATTCTTTAATAATTGTAATAATATGAAAATCAGCGGGTATATAATATTAATAAACACTAACTAAATATTGAAACAAGACCAATACGTTTTAGCCAAATAATTGGTTATCAAAAATTATTTTTGGGTGATACAATAATGATGTAAGGCGTGATATAAAAATGATGTAAGAAGTGGGAAAAAATATTGTTTAGAAGTTTTCCGAATTAAAAGTAACTTTGAGACCATAACAAAATCCAAATTTTCAAAAATTAAAGTAGTTCTACGATTCAAATTAACATAATTTTGAGACCATAACAAAACAATACAAAAAAACCAACAACAAATCAACAAAACAACAAAACATATAGAAAGCCTCTAGTTTTAAATAAAATTGCTCAAAAGTTTATCTATAAAAATCATGCAAAACAATGTAACAGACTGTATGTGCATATGTGTGTATATGTGTAATGTGTAAGTCTGTGCTGTTTATGTTGTTCAGGAAAGTAAAAATAAATTATTCTAGAAACTTTTAAAGGATCTTTAATATAATCCTAAATAAAGGCAAGTCAGCTCTCACATATGGGTCAGATCTTATCCTCTCTCAAATCTTAATGGTCAAAGATAAAAATTTTTGATTTTATACTAGCATATATATATATATATATATATATATATATATATATATATATATATATATATATATATATATATATATATATATATATATATATATATATATATATATATATATATATATATTTGTGTGTGTGTGTGTGTGTAAATGCTATATGTAACTTTGTATAATAGGTTTACTAATAGTTGTTTTTAATCTTTGATTTGCAAACTTTTATTATCTAATCTTGAGCCTGACAACTTACTGACAATCACTATGAATTTCAGTTTTTTTATTTTACTGTTAAGTGTTCCAACAAAAAAGATTTTATTGTACATTAAACGGAAGTGTAGATATAAAGGGGCATTCTTTATTTATCAAAGACTTTTGATTGAATCTATTATGCAGGTCCTCTCAATTATCTTGCATTATCTAGGAACATTTTTCTAAATTATTAAAACATTAAATTCCAATTTCTCTACTAAAATTGTCTTTGATCAACAAAACTCTTCTTCTTTTCCAGGAAATTTTGTTTGTTTGTGCAACACAAAGTTCACAAAAAGTGACCAACAGAGCCATCCAGTTACGTAGACCTTGGAGATGTGAAAATAAAAACAGATTGTAGATGATGTCACTTAGGTATAAAAAACATAAATTAATGTAAAGACTCTTTAGTAGGAGGAGTAAAAGTTAGCAACTCAGGAAGAGAGGAATCATAACTCACACTCTAGTCATCTTTAGCAAATGATAAAGCAATGATCTATGAGTAAACAAGTCAATATAAATCCACTGGTTTATAAATGGTATCCATTACTAAAATAATCACACCATAATGAGTCTAATAAATGTGGTACTATATATGGTCTAAACTCTAGATAATAAATTGAGAACTGATAATCACCTGTGTAACATAAAAATTTATAAATGTTGTTAATGTATCAAATTCAAAAAAAAAGCTCAAAAAGCACAAAAATCCATGGGTGTAAGGGGTAAAAAAATGTTGGTGCTATAATAACCAATTAGAATTAAGTAGTGGATGAATGGTGATCTCCCTCCACAGGAATGCACTGCAATCATCAATAACGTTTCGGAGAGCCCAAGACTATGTGTCTTATTTTTGCTGACTATGTGCTTGGATCTAAAATCTAACGTCATAGCACAACATTCCACACCAGCATGGAGCAGTAGCTCTTTTGGCTAATAGTGATTGCTTGTGGCCTACAGTGACTTATGTGTGCATTCGATCAATTGAAATCCATTCTGTAGGTCTTATGTCTGGCTCTGATGTGCTAGCCCATAAGCGCAACAAGTGAGTGTGTTTAGTTTTCTAATTACATAATTTGAAAGTGAATAAAAACATAATGAAACCATACTAGACAATTGAACAGAACGTACTAATGCACTACACTATCACACCTGTAGACATCAACAGTCTCTAAAATCAATGTATCAAATATTTGTTCTTTGTTACATATGATCTACACACAGAGTGATTAGAGTGTTACTTGTTTCTCCCCCTGCCCCTCAAGCATTTAACTTTATTCTTCATCTTTACAAAAGTCTTGCCACTCATTTTATATTTTCTTATAATTTTTATTTTTTTATTCAACGACACCATCTACTAATTGTTTTTATTATCACATCTCCCAGGTCTAACTGGATGGCTCCGTAAAGTCAATTTTTGCGATCTTTGTGTTAAACAAAAAAATTCTCCTTCTTTTCCAGGAAATTTTGGGGTACCAGAAGGTTCCATCTTCCTGTGTTGTTTCTCATCTCTAATAACAATCTTCTTTATAATCTTCTAAGATCTTTTTGCTGGTGAAGTAACTATAATGCAAAATTAACATTTGCTTAAGTTGATTTTTAAAGTTTATGTTGCCTTTCTTTATTAAGCTTGTCATTTTCTTACTGCTGATTCTATTCTCTACCTTTATAAATATTTTATTTATTTAGAACTCTCCTTTTTTTTTTTAGTGATTATAAAAGTATTTAAATAAAAGTACATGTTTTATATGAAGAAAAAAAAAGAATTGTTTTTATTTATTTATTTATAAATAAGAAAGGAATAGTATATTATCTATACATTTTTTTTTGTATAAAATTATATATATTTATTTTATGTAGTTATTTATAAATAAGCAACAAAATAAAAAATCATTTTTTAGTTTAAGTTAAATTTATTGAGTTCAATTTCATTTATACTATTTGTATAATTTATTTATTTGAATCTGATCTTACTTCTGTAAGAGATCTTACTTCTGCTTCAGATATCACTTCTGTAACAGATTGGGGTTTTCAGTGGCTTGTGAACTTTAACTCTAACAAAACTCAGTTATTTACTGCAAACAAATTTATAAATATTTATCCCTGTATGGAATACTGTTGTCATATATATATCTTTGCTTCCAACAACGCTGCAAGCAACCACTATTAGAGTTGGAAGTTACTGGAAGAGTTAAGATGAAGATTGCAAAGTAAAATAACGATTGACAGACAACTTAAGAGATTGCAAATTATATAGAAAGCAAGATGAAGGAAGCGAGTTTTAAAGAACTGATGTTTGAGGAAAAAAACTAGAGGAATAAGAGTTTTTGGAGCATTTAAGAAAAGTCATAGAAAAAGGATGAGACTTAGGAGACGTCTAGTGCTTTGCCTAGAGCAGTGTCTATTATAGTATTTGTAGAAAAGAGAAAGAGAAGCAACATTGCAACAATGTGATAATGATTGGAGGTTGGCTGCAAGAGCAGGTCCAATTATGTTTACAATACCTTTTTGCACTTTGTCTAAAAAAGATGGGCATCATTAGAAGATCTGCCCCATGATATGGCAACAATATTCAATAAAAGGCTGGATTTGAGATTTATAGAGATAGAGAATAAAATCCGGAGTAAGAAAGTGTTGAGCTTGATAAAGAGATGCAACTTTAGCAGATGCTAATTTTGCAACAGATTTGATATACATTTCCAAGAAAGATTGGAAGTAAAAGTTGATCCTAGAAGATGAAGGGTAGACGACTCATCAAGTTCAGTGCCATTCATAAATATAGGAAGATCTAAATTGCAATAATGATTGGCCGAGAAAATTTAGATTTATCTGAATTAAAGTTCACCAGTCACTGTAATCCCCATGAGGTGAGATTCTTTCCAAGCTCATATGCCTCCTTTAAGCGATCAGAGACTGTTGGCTTCTTATTGTGACAAGAATAAATGATTGTATTATCAGTGAACAATGCCACTTTAGATGTGAAAATATCTGGAAGATCGTTAATGTAAATTAAAAAAAGTATAGGGCCTAGAATTGAACCCTTAGGAACCCCTTAGGTTACTGTTAAAGAATCCTGAGGGTACTGTTAAAGAATATGAATTAGAGTGCTTTTAAAAGCTAAAATTAAAAAATATAAGATAAAGGTAAAAATAAGATAGTAATCAATAATATTAGATAATATTAGCTGAAAAAAAAAATAGAAAGTTAGATTGAAAACTGAAATTACTGACTTTCGAGGACAACTTTTATACTATAATTGGAAAGGAAGGATTCAATAATCTTAAAGACGTTACCTGAAACATTGTAAGAAGAAAGTTTATGGAGAAGACCAGCTTTAGCAGAGTTGATAAAAGTTTTTTTTTTTAATTTTTTCAATGTTTGAAATGTAAACAATATGTACATACATCTGTTTGCATTTTTATTTAAAGTTTAATAGTTGTGTTAAGAAAAACAGTTAACTTTTAATTTTTAAGCTTATTATTTATGTTTAGAAACACAGTGAACTCTTTTTTAGTAGTGTTTAGAAACACAGTTAACTTTTTTTTGAAAACATTTAAAAAATCTTTATATAAAAATAATAATTAATTTTAGTGCCCAGTGCTCCTACAAAATTTTGTGTTCTTTTTTCTACCACATCGAAATTGAAACTTAGCTGGGATGAACCTTTGGAAAAAAATGGTGTAATTATAGGGTATGAACTCTCTGTTGAAGGTATAATGGCATTTCTTTATTTTTATGTTCGAACTTTTTTTTCCTTTGATAAATATAAATAATAACATAAATATTGAAGTTAAAAAAAGAAAAATCAATATTTCCATAATTTTGCAATATTAGTATTAATATTTTTGTTATATTTTGTTTGTATATTTTTATTTATGTATATTTTGTCATGATAAATGTGTTAAAAAAAAGAAAAACTAGATAAATAAAGGTTTTTTGATTATAAAGGATTAATAACAACAAGATAAAAGCTTGAGCAGCGAGTTGTATTTGTACAAGAGAGTAAGAAATGCAACCTATTAACTATGGACAAATAATACACGTTTAGAAAAATACTTAGCAGAGTTATCCAACTCTATTTTCTATGTGTTTTATTTACACACGCGCATACATACATGTGTACAAGTCCTTATTTATAAAAGAAAGTACATTATTAGAAGTACTTGTCTAAATATGACAACAACGTTCCACACAAGGATGAATAAAAGTTCGATAGATGTAGAGAATGGAATCAGAAGTAAGAAAACGACAAGCAAGGTAAAAGATGAACTATAGCAGAGACTAACTTTGCCATGATTGAGTGTTTCCATGAGAGGTCAGTTGTAAATGAAATTTAGAGAATATGTTAAGTAAAAAACTCAAAATAAGTGTCTCACTTACTCAATAAAAAAGTGTGTATTAAAAAAACGAGTGAGTGAAAAGAAGAGTGACTGAGTGAGTGAGTCAATATAAAGTATATGCAAAATTAAAATAATTTTTTGCAGTAACTGCTCTTATCTGTCACAGAAGAGAGATCTTTTTCATGATGATTTCATGAAGGAATCATGAAGGAAATCTCAATGAATAAAGGAAACATTATGTAACATCATGAAAAAAATGAAAGATGAAGAAAATCTTAATAGATTAATGAAAAAAATTTGAAATGAATAAGTGTGTTGTTTATCACACAATTAATCATTTCAAATTTTTAAATAAAAATACATTTCAAGTTTTTATAAAGCAACTTAAATACTGTGGTTAGAAAGGTATGATTCAATAATTTTGAATTTTTCTGAGATGTATCTTATGAAGATAGTTAATTGAGAAAACCAGCATCAAAAACCTTTGATGAGTTTTTGAGCATCAAAAACCTTTATCAAGATAAATATCATATTTATATATATAAATATAACTTATAAATATAATATAAATATTATATTTACCTTTATCAAGATATATGATAAATATCAAGAGAAACATATCAAGATATCAATCAACCATATCAAGAGAGCAACCAAAAGGCAACAGCCTTGCCTCACTTTATCATTATCTTGTTTCACTGCCTTCTACCTAATCTTTTTATTATTTTGTTACTATGGTTACAAAGAGTCAGCTGTAAAACAAGAAAATTAAAACCATTCATTTCTTAAGTCAGATAGCAAATAATTAAATAATAAATAAATAATATTCAGGTTTAAATTTAATTTCAAAATTATATTTTTAGACTCAAGATGAAATTTTAGAAATGTTTTACTAATAACAGTTTAGAAATTAATAATAATAGTAACTAAGCAACAGTTAGAAGAGACAGAGCCATCACCAACAAACATCTCAAACAACACCTCTAACTTCCAACAAGCAACCACTATTAAGTTGGGAGATACTAGAAAAAAAAAAGAGTCAAGGAAAAGGTTGACAGAAGACTTTTAAAGTTGAAACTGAAAAAATAATAGAGTTATATAGCAACGTTGGTTGACAGAAAACTTGAAAAGTTGAAGGTTGTCTGAGTCAGAAAAGATAAAGATGGGAGAGAGTTACGGTGCAGAAAAAAACATGACAAATAAAAGTTTTTAGAGCATGCATGGGCTAATACAGTAAAAAGATAAGGCTTTGTTGAATTACGAGTCAAACAAGAATAAGTTTTAGTTGATGGAGCTTGAGATGATAACTCCTAGTATTTGTAAGAAGGAGATGCAACTTTATGATCATAGGAAAGAGGCTCAAACTTAGCAGATAGAGCATTTCTAACTTCATTAACAATGCACTTTTGAACTTTTTCTAAAAGAAAAATTTGTAAACTTTGTTGAGTTTTGTTGGAAATTAAATGAAATTTAAAATTCACAAGCCACTACAAACAATTTGTTACAGAACTGATAGCAGATTTAATATCAATTGCTGTTTTTAGCCATTGAAAAGTGAAGACTTTTAGTCAAGGCTGGAGTATAAAGTTAAATCATCACCAAATATTTTAGATTTAAGGTTGTCATGACGACAATGAAGATAAGATAAAAAACAAGAGTAAGGATTTTTGAGCTTTTGAAGTTACTGGAAATGAAAAAGAATTCTTTTTGTTGGTCATCAAAGATTACTTTAATAAAGCGAATAAAAAATGATTTGATAATTTCAAAATCTTTTCCAGATACACCATATGAAGCAAGCTTGTACAGAAGACCTGCACGGAGGACCTCCAGAAATTTTAAAAATTTTGTATGCCACCGAGTGATTGGTTAAAAATCTTGCTTTTATAAACAAAAGTGAAAAGTTTTATATGTTGTTTAATATTTCATAATATTTTAATACAAAAATTATACTTATTTTGTTTTTCTTAATAAAAGGAAAAAATTTTGAAACTTTTTAAATTTATAATGTTTTTGAAGATAACAAGAAAGTTTTGCCAAGTGTTGGCTTATACTTGGTAGTATCTTACCTTATATTAAATTATTGAATCCTTTGACAGACAACTTTATCCCTTAATTTCAGTTACTACCACATTAAAACCACAAGTTTTTATCCTTTGTCCCATGTTGTTTTGTATTTACCTAGGTACTAGGTAACGTAGGTACCTCCATCCCTTTTTTATTCTGATTACCCTTGATTCTGATACCTTCTTCTGATTCCTGATTACCTCTGATTCTGATACCTCTATCTCCTAATTACCTCTGATTCTGATACTTCCATCTCCTATTTCCTAAATACCACTGATTCTGATTGATATTTTGGTTTTAATTTTGTGTTTTTTCAAGGAAAACCAATAAGTATATTTTTAAAGACAAAAAGTTATATAATGACACATCTACAATCTTCAACTCAGTACAATTTTGAGGTATTGAGATTTTCCAACAATTTTTTCAGTTTAGTTTAATAATAAATTAACAATTTATAAAATAACTGTTTCATTTAAAGTATTTTAACTTTTTGCTTGTTATTTGTAACTGTTTGTTAATTATTTTAATATTAGTTTTATACTAAAAAATAAAAAAAAATGTCCTCAGTTTACATAAAGTAACTTGATTAGATATATAAGCAGCCATTTTGTTTAGATACGTGCTCTAACTAGTGAAGGAAAAGGATTAGCAGCTTATTTGACAGGAACAACAAATACTCTTGGTATTTTTTGTTATAATTATTTTTTACATTAAACAAAACACATTAATATTTTGAAAATGCATTTTTAATATTTCATAATTTAATATTTTGAAAATGCATCTTAAAAGCAGGATATAGGCACTAGACATGGTATAGAGTACAGGCACTAGACATGGTATAAGGTACCGGCACCAAATTTTTAAAGCTGAAACAAGAACGAAGGCAGTTTAGCATTTGGATTGTTTCAAAAGGCGCTTCTTGCAGATAAGACTATAGCCATATATGATATGTGATAACTGTATTGATATATATATATATATACTTATATAGTTTTTAACTACTGTGTGAGTCATAAGTTTTAAGACATGATAATCATCATCATAATGATGATTATCATATCTTAAATTTTTAATATTATATATATTATATATGGTTTATTTTAAATAGTACTAAACTATAAGTTTACTACTATTTAAGACAAACATAGTATAAAATATTATTTAAGTTTGAAAAATACACTGTTTAAGGAAGGCAGGGTGGCCAGCAGTCTTTAAAAACCTGGAAAAGTCCTAGACAAACACATATTTTAGCAATAATTTCTGGAAATCCCACAACTTTTTTTTCTTAAATAGTTCAATATTTCATTATCATGTTTTTATCTTTTGCAGAGTTGTTATTAATTTTGCATAGATTTATACTGAATTTGATAATTTTTGATTTTCTATAATGCAAAAAATATATTAATGTTACTGTTAGTATTATTAACATCTACTATATAGTTATTTTTCATTTTCATATTTTTTCTTAAATCAAAATATTTATAAGATAATATTGTATAAGTTTTTATTATTAGATTATTTTGCACCCTCACCTCCTCAATTACATGTTCATGGTAAAACAGAGATTTTTATTGAGTGGGATCCTCCTAAAAATCTTCTTGGTAGATTAAATTATTATGAACTTAGAATGGATAACATGGTTTGTTGTTTTTTTATGTTTTTCTACTTTAATTTGTTTTTAGTTTGAAATCTAACAAGAAATTCTCTGATTCTTAGTAACAGTAGTTGTGACATGAATTATAATTTTCTGATAGAAAAAGTAATTTATCATTTAACACGGAAGGTGTGAACACAGAGGCTATTAAAGTTTTTTTGCTAATCATGTGAGGAATTTTATTGTTACTATAGTCTTTGCTTATGCATGTTTCTTTATGATTTTTTGCCATCATTTACATTCTTTCTTATTGTTGTTGTTTTTTTATTTTGCTCACAACAAAAAGCCATATTCAGATTTGAAGTTAACTGTGAAACCAAAAGTAGTAAAGAGAGTTAAAGAAAAGAAAACTGTTGATAGAAAACTGTAAATTAAAAACTGTTGATAGAAAACTGTAAATTAAAAACTGTTGATAGAAAACTGTAAATTAAAAACTGTTGATAGAAAACTGTAAATTAAAACCTATTGATAGAAGACTGTAAATTAAAAACTGCTGATAGAAGACTGTTAATTAAAAACTATTGATAGAAGGCTGTAAATTAAAAACTGTTGATAGAAGGGTGTAAATTAAAAACTATTGATAAAAGTGTGTAAGTTAAAAACTGTTGATAGAAGACTGTTAATTAAAAACTGTTGATAGAAGTGTGTAACTTAAAAACTGTTGATAGAAGACTGTAAATTAAAAACTGCTGATAGAAGTCTGTAAATTAGATGAGTCAGGAAAGCATGAAGAGATGTATGATTTTCAAAGTTTGTGATAAAAGTTTTTTTAAACAGAAAAGATTACAAAACAAGATTAAATTGAACAATTGAATCAGGGAGCAGAAGCAGAGAATTGAATCAGGAGTAAGAAACTAGTAAAAAAGGATTCATTTTATTTATGGTTTCAATAAAAGGTCAGTAGTAAACAATAATCTAAAGAGACTTATTTTAGAGGTCTCAATAAGAGTGTTGCGCTAAAAGAATATAATTAATATTACAATAATTATCAACAGTAAAAAAACAAGTTCAAAGTGTTTTCCAGCGTGCTGGAAAGCGGCATCTGTTATCCCGATTTTAAAAAATTCTTGAAAATTTTGGAGAGCAATCTGTAGAGTATATTCTGGAGAGTAATCTAACAAGCAACCTAAGCTGTCTGACAACCATCTCATTAGTCTTATTCCTATCATAAGAAATCATAATTGTATTTAATTGTAAACATAGTTAGACCTGCTCTTGCAGCCAACCTCTAACCATTATCACATTGTCTTAATGTTGCTTCTCTTTCTAAGCAAATGCCATCACATTAGTCATGACACTAATCATGATAACCATCTAATTAGTCTTCTTTCTATCATAAGCAAAGTTCTTGAATCTTTAATCAACAAACACTTAATCTCTCATCTTGATTCTAATAACTTACTTTCTGATCATCAATAAGGGTTTTGATCTTCTCATTCTATAGCTGATTTGCTAACAGTAATAACAAATAGGTTTTATTGTGCATTAAATAGAGGTGAAGAAGTCAAGACTATCATTCTTGACATTTCTAAAGCTTTTGATAAAGTTTGACATGCTGGTCTTCTTAATAACTTTTTTTCTTACAATGTATCAGGTAACATCTTTAAGATTTTTGAATCCTTTCATTCCATACGTAGTTTGAAAAATAGTCCTCGATGGGCAGCACTCTTATTCATACGCTCTTTGATTTTTAGACAAGGTGCAAAAATAAATTGTAAACATAGTTGGACCTGCTTTTGCAGCCAACCTCCAACCATTATCACATTGTGGTAATGTTGCTTCTCTTTCTCTTTTTTACAAATATTATAATGGGCACTCCTCTAAAGAGCTATCGATTCTTGTACCATCTACTAAAATTCATTGTGTTACTTTGTCATTTAGTTAAGTCTCATCCTTTTTCTGTGACTGTTCTTAAGTGCTATAAAATCTCCTATTCATCTAGTTTTTTTCCTCAAACATCAGTTTTTTGGAATTCGCTTCCTTTATCTTGCTTTCCTGATTTATACAATTTGCAATCTTTTAAGTTGTCTGTCAATCATTATCTTGCTCTACAAACTTCATATTTTCTTTTCCAGTAACTTCCAACTCTTATAGTGGTTATTTGCAGCCTTGTTGGAAACAAAGATGTTAAAAAAAAATTTTTATTTTTTGAGCTCTTAGTATAATTGAAGCCCTTTTCTAATCCTTATTAAAAACATTCTTAAGCTTAGATTCGTTTATTTTTTTTAAAGTCTAATATAATATCATATTGCTGTTATTGCACTCTTTACTGATTGTAGGAAATCCAAAAGCATAGGATGTTATTTTTTTCTGTATTTATGTTCTTAAAACTTTTTAGATTTACTATTTTTTGGAAAACCATTATGTGTTTTGTTTCATATGTCCTCTTTTATTGAATGTTGATCTTTTTTTAGCAAATGTTTTTCCTCCTCATATCATAATTTTTTGTTTATTATTTGTTTAAATATATATTTATTTATTTGATTTATGCTTTAGAATTAAATTTATACATAAATAAATAATATAGTTTCAAAACAATTACAGAACTACAACTATAAATTTACACAGTTAAACATTTATTTCCAGGTAATATATAGAGGAATTGAACGCTGTTTTACTGCGCAAGCTCTTCAGCCAACTAAAGTTTATAGTTTTACAGTAACTATATTTAGTTATATTTGAAATTTGTTTTTAGTTTTAAAATGTTATTCTGAAGGGAAAATATTCAATTTCAGGTTTCAGCATGGATGAGTGAGGGTAGATGCGAAAGTTTACCCAGAACACGCCGAATCAGCAAGCAATGTAAGTTGTTTTAATATATCCAAATATTAATAATAATATATAGCTAAAAAAGTATAATTTTTTTTTTTAGTTTTGATTTTAAATCAGATTTGAATTCCATTTCCATCTGAAATCCACTTATGAAAACCACATATGTACAACTACATCTGTAAATCCTGAAGACGTAGTTACATTTTTTAAATTATATTAAAAATAGCTACATGATTTTATCAAATTTTTAAATTATAATGTGTTATATTAATCAGATGTAGTTACATATATGATTTTTTTTCAGATGTAGTTACATCTGGAAAAAATTATTAAATAATAATGCATTATTTTAACCAGATTTAGTTTCATATAAGTTTTTTTTTCAGATGTAATTATATCTGTAAGAAATTCTTCCAGATGTTATTGGCCTTTGTGAAAAATTACCAGATGTAGTTCTGTCTAAAGATGTTGTTGATTTTCCAGATGAAAATAAAGGGGTCGTTGATTTTCCAGATAATATTGGACAGATGTTGTAAGAGTAAAAAAAAAACACAGATGATCTTGGACGAAATTGCACAGATGATCTTGGAATAGTCCACAGATGTTTTGGACAGATGTAGTAATCTTTTATCCAAATTTCCAGAGTTCTTTCAGGAGAAATAGATCACAGAGAGCTTATGATCATGTCTGTCACCAATAGCTCATAGTTTATTCATTAATCTTGTGTGATTTTTAATTTCTATGATCAGGGTTGGGATCAAATATGTATTTTTATTTGAAGTTGTATTTATATTTGGTAGTTATGAGGTAAATTGGCGTATTTGTATTCGTGTTGCATTAGATTTAAAAATTTCTTAAAAATTTTTATTTGCATTTGATTGAAATAGTGTTTTTCCCCATAAAATCCCACTGTAAACAAGGTTGACTGGTGTTTTTTTGGGAAAAACTAAGATATTTGTTTGTTTATTCTCTTCTTTTTTAATGCTAAAATAAGCTAAAATTTAGTTTGTAAAGGATAATTTTTAAAGTTTTAAATTTAAATTGATATTTATAAAAGACTTGTTTTCATTCTTCTATTTAGCATACCATTTTATCAATATTGTATTAAAACAAACCTATGTATTTTTTTAAACCTAACTTACAAATACTTGTAATTTTATTTGGAAAATGAAAATTTTGTACTTAATTTGGAAATCTGAAATTAAAGTATTTGTATTTGTGTTTGACCCCTGTGTATGATTATTAATTTGGTGTTTAATTGCTGATATATTGATTCTGATATAATAAATGGTTGATAAAAAGTTTTATTATTTTAAATTTTGAAATCTGCAAAGTCATTGTCAAATAAGTGTAAAAGTCGATATGGCGGCTTTTTTATAACTCTTTTCAACTTCTACCTTTAAAAAGTTTTTTTTCGTTGTTGTTGTTGTTGTTATGCGTGTTATGTCGTGTGCGTCTTGTATCAATAAAAAATAATACATTGCAATGCTAACTTTATTGGTTTCTCTATCTAGTTCTAACCAGATTTAGATTTTCTATCTAACGGTTAAATTTCTTTATCTACTCTTAACTCGGTTTAAATTCTTGATTTACTATTAAGCCAGTTTTGATTTTTTATCTACTTTTTGTTCGGTTTAAGTTTTTTATCTACTTCTAACCCAGTTTGTTCTACTGGAGATTCCTGGTATCAATGTGGTTTGATGTGTTATTTGAATATTCGATAATCAAATTATTTGAATAAACATTTTGTGAAAAGTTTAAATTAAAATATAAAAGATAATCTAATAACATTTTTTAATTTTGTTGATTTTTGAGTTGTGCACTTTTTTTGCAAACGAGTTTTTGTGGCATAAACATTAGAAATAAAGTTTTATGATGGCTTCCATTGATCATTTTTATGTGATCATTTTTATTATTGTTATTAAAAAAGTTCGGAAATAAGATAATAAAAATTAAAATTTTAACTTTTTTTTTTTATTGTAGCTACATCATCGTCTATTTTAAAAAGAAGAATCTCTCTCAAAGAGTAATTTGAATCGCGATCCAACGAATTGTTAGTATGCGACTATATGCAACTTGTAAAGTTAAAAATTTTTAAGTAAAAATAAAAATGGCAAAAGTGTAATTGTTAAATATATGTAAATAATATTTACAATTATTTATATAAAGTTTATGTTTTACAAAAGTTTTTTTTCGTAAGATGGTATATTGCAACTTTAAAATGTTTTAAGGATGGTGATAAAATTCCAGCAAAAAAAAACAGAGAGAAAAAAAGAGGTTCGTTCCCAAAAATTCATAAAACTTATTCCTTATAGATGCTATCCAGCTAAATTAGGAAGATCAGTTGAAAATAGTTGAAAACCAATTCCAAATTCATCAGAAATTTGATTAAAACAAACTGGATGAAAGCTAATTAAAAAACAGTTATCTCAAGGCCGACAACATTGGTTTCTTCATATCAGAGCCGACAACATGGGTTTCATCTATATATCTAGAGTTTTCTTTAATAAAAAAAAGTAGGGGTAGGCGGTGTCGTCGGCTCTCTGCTGGTCTGACGTCAGTTATCTGCTGTTCTGACAATCAGAATTAAGCATAAGGGTATTAAGAGACAAAAAGTGATAAAGAAACGGCAACTTTTTCTAATGAACAGCTAATCTTGCTTAGGTGCCCTGTTAAAAGACAAAAATGATTGAGTTTATAGAGTTAGTTTGAAAGAGGTCCCGCCTAATATAAGGGCTTTTCCAAAGTGCATCAGGGGTTAATTTTTTATGGTACATTTTTCAAGGACAAAAAACTCACACTAAATTTTTTACTTATATCATACTTTATTGATAGAGAAATTAAAATTAACTAAGAGTTCTATTTTTATGACATATGTTAAATCTCATTTTAATAAAATATTTAGCTTCCATATACTTTCCAGCAGGATTTAGCCTCCAAAAATAACGCAAAAACGGTTCAAAAGGAAAATTTCTCGTGTTTCATTCCTGTGTCAGAATGGGTCGCCAACAGTCCAGATTTGACCCCTTATGTTTTCTTTGCATGAGGTTATTCGTGTTGGAAAAACTAAAAAATGTAAAATGCAATAAATTAAACGATTCTAAGGATTTACTAGGCAAAATGTGGGGTGAAATTCTTGACGGTATTGTCTATTGTCATCTATGACAATATAATTCCGTCAAGAATTTCATCTCACATATGTGTATTAAAGAAAAATTTGAAATAAATTAATTTTTTGTATTAAATATTAATGTAAGTTTCAGAAAATTTCTTAAATCAGAAAAGTGAAAATCCTCTTCCCTAATTAAAATCTCAAATCTGAAGAATTGTTATTTAGCAAACACAAAAGCTATTAGATATTTGTAAATACCCTCTCTGTAATATACTTTAATAAAAGTCTATTCTATTAGGTAGATTTAAAAGATACTGTTATTTAGTCACTTAGATAGCTTAAGCATTTTGTTCCAATTGCATTTTTTAAATTTAAAATCGACAATCCATTATGTTACTGTTTGCACAGCATTCATAGGTATTTATAGTTATTCTGAAAACAATATTATGGAATAAAAACATTATACACTGTCAAGTGCAATTTTCTGTTGTTGTATCTAAGAAATTGCGCATAACAAGAGGAAATATTTTTACATTACATAACAGTGATTAGAGATATCTTCTAACTAGGATTTTTAGGGTGTCCTACTTCTTTTCATTCTATGATTTCTTATTTTATGGTTTAACTCTATAAAAATATTAAAAACTTTTATAATACCAATATAATTAAAAAAATATTTTTAATACTATTAATGTTTTGATATAATACTAGTATTATAAAAATTGTAAGCAAATTTTAAAATTTCGTTAGGTCTGTAGTTTTCCAAATTAAATTAAAACGCCTATTTCTTTTAATTTCACCTAAATAACAACAACAACAAAAAAAATGTACAAATTTATTTTAATTTGTTTTGAAAAACTACATATTCAAGCGGAGGAAAAAAAATTTATTTAAAGGAGCAAAAGAAAGCAAAAAATTAACCTAAGAAAAAAAAAAGTAGTTTTTGCCCACTATCAACTATAAATCTAATTTTGCCGACTCTAGTATCCAATTTGCCGACTAATAAAATTTGTAGGGGGGCTGTGTATGTATATATATATATATATATATATATATATATATATATATATATATATATATATATATATATATATATATATATATATATATATATATATATATATATATATATATATATATATATATATATATATATATATATATAT